TCAAGACCTCTTCGAGGTCTATAAGGCTTCTGAGGCAACTTGGTAAAAGCCTTCTAGGCAGAGACTATAAACCTCTATCTAGTGCGACAGACCACTTTTGGGCATCCATAGAGACAGCCGAGGGATGTCAGGCCTAAATATTAAGTTCAACATTATGTAACTAGCTTTATATAATAATCTTAATAAAGGATCACCGGCAAGGTTGCCAAAGGAAAAAAAAAAAAAAAATTTAAAATTTAAATCTTTATATTTGACTTCTGTTTTGTTTTAAAAATATGCTCTAATCCTAAAAATAAAGATGGTAATAATCGCCACTGGTTCTAATTTTGAATATATGAGTACTCGAGAGAAAAAATCAGTAAATAAAAATTTAGACCTAAAAAATTGTATACAATAATTTATTATACGGGTCTTTGCTATGATTCTTTTTCTAAAAATAGATTTACTACGTTTTTCTTAATAAAAACAATGCTTCGGAGGGTCATTTTAATAGCAAAGACCCCATATCTGATATACTACGCAAAATTATCAAAATGCCGATCATAATTTTTTTTTAGGGTCCAAATTTTTTTACTTACTGGTTTTACCTCTCGAGCACTCATATTTGAAATTTGATTGACTAAAAAAATATCAAATGTGAGCAGAATTTTGAAATGGGTTAAAATGAAATCAGATTAAAATGAAATAAGAGATAGGGTTTAGGGGTAGGTTTTATAATAACCAAGTATAAGTGGGTTTTAGAGGGGACAAATAGAAACCCCTCATTTCATTTTAATACGATTTCATTATGATACACGACATTTATTAGTAACAAAAAATTATCGTTATATACTATAATTTTTAAAACCTTTTATTAAGTGACATTTTGTCTTCTAAGCAAAGTATATTAGTTTTAAAATTATTTTTGAATTATTTTGCATAGTGAAATTTGACGCCTTTCTAAAGTTTGTTCTCAAAAAGTACTTTAAACCATATAAATTGGTTACCCGAGCAATTTGATTTACACTAGCCAATCAGACGAATTTCATCCTATGAGAAATTTTCCGTAAAATGAGAACGAATATCCACTATTGTGCGACACAGAACTGTCACTTTACTTTCTACAATGAGCTTTTCTTGGAAGGCCGCCGGTATTAGGTTCGTTTAATAGCAAAATAAAGAATAAACACATAAAATATATTTAGGTAGTATTAATTACAGCGACAAATTACTTGAATTTGTATAAACACAGCTACTTGAAATATACACAAATATGTGCCCGTGCAGTACGTAACGCCTTGAAAGAAGAACAACGGCTAATAGCACAAAGGCGAGACGAACAAGGGCTTAAATTTGCAAAGTGGGAATCTGGTAAACAGGGAGAACTGGTATGTAATGGATAATTCATATTAAAGCAACCTATTTTTTAAATCGATAAACAATGTTTTTTCCTTATAGAAACCCGTCGATAATGCTTTGAGTAACGTTTCGGGCTAAACCCTATTCCCAAAACTCAACTCACGAAAAACGGAATGTCCTAAAATCTAAACTGTTTCAAATTTAGAATTAAATAAAGTTCTATTACCGACTAAATAACAATAATAATCAGATTTTCAATTCGACTGTCCATAAAATAGGAGAATCGGTTTCAATCATTACAATATCATTAATTAAGTGGTTAGACGTGCTAATCATCTCACCAAAAGAGGTGGAACTATTCGCTATAACAAAATTTACTATCAGATTCGACGAAATTTATGGAAAAAATGGGATTGGAGTGACGAAAATCAACATACTAAGATTCCACTCTAATCCCGTAGTTGTTACAATAGCTCTTTCAATGCCAATGGGTATTATTCCACAGTTCGGACCCTCAATAGCGTGATTACAATGTATTTGATGCTTTCCCTTCAAATGAACAAAAATCGAGATATTAGCTTTCAGTTTATTCGAAGTACACAAAATTAACAAATCATACTTTGTCGAGTAAAATAGTCATATTTTGATCTGATAATAGGTAAATTCTTCTCTCATTTTTTAGCTTATATAGGTAATGAATATTTGACATTGCTTGATCCACTCTACCTCCAAATGTACCAAGTGCAACAATCTCGTGCTGTAAACAGTATAGTTTCAATGAACAGATAGATTACAAGGTATTAAAAATAAGCAACCATACCTTTACGGAAGATTCACTTTCCTTTCTGCGAACAAGTTCAATACATTTCATGAAATCTGTGGAATTTTGATCCGGATCCTGTTCAACCTCAGTACCCTTAACAATAGCCTTTTGTTCAGTAATATATTTGCTAAAAGAATAGATCGAATGTTTGCTTACTTTAGAAATATAAAAATCTCTGACATCATCTCTCAAAGAGTCCAAATCACCTCTGATATAGTGAGGGATATACCTATAAATGGTCATATGTTAAAAAAACCGAGGATATTGCTACCGCTCAATAATGGAATAAATTAGCGTCACTAACATATGTTGTTTATCAGTTCCTTCAAAAGCTTCATACAACTGATTCCCACCGCCGTCTGCACAAATCTTCATA